GGGGGGGGGGGGGGAGAAAAGTACCCGGAACGTGGGGAGCGGTCAGAGCATTGAGCCCATGGGAAACGGCAACAGGTACGTGGACGGAAAAACAAGAACTAACGCGGTGCGTGCACGACGAACAACACAAGCGCTCGCCAAACGAGAGTGCATGGAAGCCGCGACCACGCCAGCAACACCACAGGCGGCTTCAGACGACCGATACGTCAAGAACCGGAGACCTCTAGGAATCGGAGAGCGGAACGATAGAACGTGGAATTTGTTGAAATCGGGCCCGTTTTGCACACAATCGGCGTCCCTTTCACCTGCGGGGCGAGGTTGCGCAGTAGCCGGATGATGGTGTTGAACGGGACCTCAGACCTCACGTTGTCCAGCCACTCCTGTGTTGGTCGAAACCTGAGGACAACCGAACAAATAGCGCGCGCGAGGGGGATCTCAACGTAGACCTCAAACCTAGATATCAGAGGGGGAGGCAGGACTTATTTCACCGACGCCAGAAGCGTCAAGCTAGTTGGTGACATCGGAAACCCACAGACACGTCCATGTGCTGTGAGAAGTACCGTAGCAGGGAAACCACTTTGGCAGCATTCTTTCGGAGATGAATGGAAGGTTGTCCGTGTGTTTCGAGAACACACGACAGCCCGGCAGTTGGCAACCTCTTTCCTCTCCACCACAGAGTTAAGAGCTTTACACTGCCATCTACATTGCCATCTACGTTTACATGGCAGCAAAGAAAAAATGTCGCACCATCTACTTTCCCAAGGCCTCTTTCCCGTCGACACAAATCGGCGAAGAATCTCCAAGGCGGCTGGTCGGAACAAAAAAAAAAACGCACCACACCTGAAGACGATACAAATCGACTCGGGGGGCACGCTCATGTTCAGCAGGCCCACACCTCAAGGCGGTACAAATCTACTTGGGGGTGTGTGGAAAAATAACCAAGGAGACAGAGAGAGGCAGTGTGATGGTGGCGTACCGAAGGGGTATCAGGGACTCGTCCCCGGCGGCCCCCGAAGGCGCTCGCGCCTCCTCCGCCTCTGGAGACCCTTGCCCTCTAGAGGACGCCTTCGGTGCTTGGGAAGGTCCTGGGCATCGACACGCAGGCGAGCGTTGACGGACGGTTTTGTTTCAATGTAGCCCTTGGAGGGGGTAGGGAGGAAGGTAGGGGACAGAAAGCCAAGAACCCCAGAAAAACACTGATGCCAAACTCTTGCGAACTACACACACAAGGCATGTATGATCCCTGTCTCTCGACGGCCTCAAGCGCTGATAACAGCTGCAGCTGACCGCAAATGGGCTTTTTCCGTGGATGGAAAAAGGGGTCCAGCCAGGTTGGTTTGGGGGGTAGCGCCAGACGGGGTTTGTTATGGAAAACGTGGCAGCATCACCGTCGCCTTCGCGGCGCACGCATCCACAAGGGACCGGGTTGACGTGCATGTATGGGCATGTGCCCTCTGGAGCTGTTCCTGACGAGGGAAGCGCATAATGTCTTCCACTAGCACCTCCCTCACCAAGCCATCCTCTCTGATCGAAGGCAATGCGTTACAATTGTTGCCGTGCAACGCAACTGCCGTGAAAAACAGAAAAAATACCTACTGCTCAAGAGCACGTCTGAGTTGGTAGGCAACAACACTCGCACGCGTGCTTGCTCGCTGCTCACGTGACGACTGCCGGAGTACCGCTTGCGACACAGAAACTCTTCCGCCTTTTTCCTCCGGCCCGGCCTGATGTGGGTTTTGACGTTCCGTTGCCGACCCATCAGGACAGATTTGCAGCACGGAGGAGAGAGAGCAAGGAGAGCGCAAAGAGCGACCAACAACCCAAAACAGAGGTAAGCCGGTTCAGGGCCCCCCCTTTCCTTTTTAACTGAACAATAATATTTACTGTTAATCCCAACTAGGGGCGCGGCAAAAAACAAACGCGGCGCGGAATCTCACCATATACTGACGAGGTAATGATTTCATGTTTCATTCGGTTCATAACATCAAGTTCAACAACAAGCCTACAGTCATGAACCAGCCCGCGGGCAACTGGGCAAACAGCCGCACGCCCAGTTGTTAGGTGTGAAGGGACGACAACCACCAAAGCACCTTCAACCCGATCGCGTGTGCCGCCTCCCCGTTCCCCGCTGCCGCCGCAGCCTCCGCCGCTGCTGTCGCCGCCGCCGCCGCGCGAACCTTCTGTGCGGCTGCCGCCCCTGACCGCGCGAACTTCGAAGCTGCCGCCACGGCTGCCGGCAAGTCAAGCTCGTACAACGACTCGAACGCCTTAAGGGGGGGGGGGGGGGGGGGGGGGGC